CGTTTAATTTCTTTTTGATCCTGATTACATTTTTTTTGATCCTGATTTAATTTTTTTTTGATCCTGATTTAATTTTTTTTAAACCCCTATCCCGTTCTTGTAGTGCTGGTGGTGCTGGTGATGGTGGTGGCGGTGATGGTGGTGAGGTGCTGGCTCCCTCCTCCTCCCCTCTTTCTCCCGCTCTTCCACTTCCTCCTCCTTCTCCTCCTCCCTCTGCTACATGTGGTCCATGGTATCCACAACAACACAACAACACGACGACGGCGGCGGCAGCAGCAGCAGCAAGAACAAGAAGAAGAAGAAGAAGAAGATGTAACAAATGAACGGCTACTGCAGTTCGAGTCAACATGCCATGCCAACTAATGCCATGTTCAGCAGACTTGATGTCTACTACTCCGACGGTTAGGATATTGCTTTGAAGGTACTACACCGGATGCAGTTTACCAGCATTCTTGCGGCTACATGGTCAGGACAAGCGCCTGGCTCCCTCCCAGCATGTCTTGGGTGGTGAGGCGCACAAAGTGCTGTGTCGTCGGTGACATCTCCGAGACGATCGACTGCTCCTGCAAAGCCCAGGCTATCTATCGCGAGCCTCACTACAGCTACGAATATGGTTGGTGGTGCTATGGTGCTGCAATCCTGGTGCTTGCTGCCTTTCTCAGCGTCGGTCTTGTCACGTGGACTTGAATCACACTGTAAAAGTATCTCCATTAGCATCACAACCTTTGCCGGTGTTGCTTCCGCTGTATTTGTTACGGTACTAGCCACACCTTTGTTAAATGAGCAGCAAGACTACGCCTAAATGCTAAATGGCAGTGACTAACACTATGTTCAAGGCTAGAGTCCGGGTCAGCATCAACAGCACATCGGATGGCGCCTCCTCATCCTGCATCTCCTTGAAGTGCCGGGGAGGCAACTCTGGAACAGCTTCCTTGCGGAGCTGTGAAACCATCATCACCATCATCACCACAATGCTCGATCAGCATTATCACCAGCACAATCACCATCATGCAATTTATCATCATGATGCCCTCCATCATCATCATCATCGTCCCCAGCAGCAGCAGCGGCGGCAGCAGCAGTAGCAGTGCTGCCGCAACCGCCGTCTCCAGACCATCATCATCCGCATTATGCTCGTCATCCTCACAGCACTTCATCACATCGTAGTCGCGGCACCCACACCGCCACGTGACCAGCAGCAGCAGCAGCAGCAACAGCAGCCGTGGCGAAAGCAGAAGCAGCAGCAGCAGCAGCAGCAGCGTCGTTTTGGCCATCACCATCATCAGGTTCGTCATCATCACTAAGATCAGCATCATCATCATCGAGATCGTGGTTGTCGTCGTCCTGATATTTAAGTTCTGCCTCGGCATCAGTATCAGCACAAGCATCCGCATCTGAGCCTCAGCGGCAGCATTGCCAGCGCCTCCCTTCTGCCCTTCATCATCATCAACGTCACCAGCACCATCACCAACACCATTGCATTACCATCGTAAATGCAAGCGTCAACGGCATCATCTTCATCACCACCATCATCATTGCTATCAACGACATCGCCACAAGCATCTCCTTCATCACGAGGCATCACCCCCATCAGCCTCATCGTCATCATGATGGTCACAATCATCATCGTCGGAATCACCATCATCATGCTGCTGATGCTACTGATTCGGCACTATGGTAGACGTAGTGGTCTGAACTTCATCCTGATCGGTGTGATCGCTGTCACTAAGACAAGCCAAGACGAAGACAGAAAGATTGGGAATTGAATCCGGAAGGGGAACCTGATGGGCTTACCGCAACATCCACACTTCTCCGGCTTCCGATCTCCACGGCAAGGATCAACGGCCCGGCCTTTCCGTAGACATCATCATCATCCGTAGGCTTTGGCACGAAGGGCGGCAGTGGGGGCGGAGGCTCTTCGGCTGTGGCCAGCTGCTCCTGATGCAAGAAGCGAAAGTCTGCTGTGCACGACTTCTCGTGACAAACAGTGCGAGTTTCGCAGTCAACATCGACAACTGGAAGCAGAGATCCACATCAGGCATGGCGAGTGCAGCTGACATGACAAGATGGCCTCCGCATGAGTAGCCAAAGCACCTCCAATAGCTCGCACTGCATCCTCCACAAATGCACAGAGATCCTCCCATGCTGACTCCCTGCTGAAGAGACGGCCTCGATAGAAGCCTCTCCCGTGGCCTGCAACTCAGTCACAATCGACAGACGACGCAGGTGCACATGAGTCTCAGAAAGGGAGTAGTAGTAAGTTGTACAAGCAGGTGCCCAGAAGAACGCCAAATCCGTCAACGCCGCCAACTCAGCTGCCTCCGCATGTTGTGCCAGTGCTGCACTTACCGCCTGACACCAGAATACACCGAACCAGCGCGTTCGTGGTGACAGACAACGACACATCCATCAAGCTTTGCACCTTCATGTCCTGGTCTGCTTTGTTGGCCTTTCAGATGCCACCAACATCGTAAGAACGGAAGTGCTTTGAGTCCAACAAACAAAGCCTCAGCATGTTTCACCAGGGCATCTCCCACAGCCCGGGCGTTTTCCTGTTGCACGCCGAAGCACGAGCACTAAACTCACGAAACCCGAGTGCAAACTGCAATACGGCACCGCAAATTGCAGCATGTCTCTGCGAACAAGCGTATGCACCGCTGCAGGTGAGGGCAAGCACCTTGCCTCAACTTCGGCAGCATGCTTGTCCTGGTCGGGATGGCACGCCAGCACGGCATGCAATTGTCAGGACACGGGGCACGACGGCCTCCGCATGAGTAGCCAATGCCCCTCCAACAGCTCGCACCGCTTCCTCCAGCAGACGCTTCACGGCTAAGAAACGGAACCACCTTACAAGTGGCTCACTCTGGGCATGGCCTGGATGGCAGCTTCTCCGGTGTCCTGCAAGCAATATGTTGGACGAACATCGGATGCTGATCAAAACCACCACTTAAGCTGCCTCGGCATGTTGTGCCAGCGCGGCACGCACTGCCTAACACCAGGGCAGCACGTTCGTTGGGAGACAGCACGACAAGGCGATCAAGCTCTGCGCCTCCTTCATGTCCTCCTCTGCCTTGTTGGCCTCGCAGATGCCGCCACGCCGCGAAACTCGTTTCCAATGGACTAACAGAAAAACCCTCTGATCCAACAGACCAAGCCTCTGCATGTCTCACCAAAGCATCGCCCGCGATCCGGATGTTTTCCTGCTTGACGTCAAAGGCCGGAAGTACAAACTGCGCACCGCCATGAACAGCGTAACATAAATTGACATATCCATGGTGGGAAAGCTCAGTACAACCTAATACTTTATCACTGGTATCATTACCACCTTTTCTGTCCATTGTTGTTGCTGCTCCTCCTATGTAAATCTGCAGGTGGTGATATGTCCGAGAACTAATGACAGGTGGACGTCCTTTCTAAATCCGAAACTCCCAAAGCCCTAAACCATAGGCGCAACATGTCCCCAGGCTCTGCTTCGGAGTCTAGGGGAAGGACAAAGTAAGATGTGTATTGCACCCTCAGCCATAAACCCCACCCCCCCAAACCCTGAACCCTGAACTCCTAAGCCCGCAATGGTTGCTCGTTGTTCGCAGTGACTTACAGGTGGCGGTCACTTTGTGGCTGATCGACATGATGGCGGTGGTGATAGTGTTGACTTAGCTGATTTTGATGCTACGGCTCATGTCGTCATAGTGATAGCCGACAATCTCATAGTCATCATCACCTTATTCTTCTTTGTCGTCACCAACAGCATCATCCTTGTCGTCCTCGTGATCGCCACGATTAAAATCACCAGCCACATTAGCCCCAGAATCAATGTCAACAGCATCATCATCGCCATCATCATCCCCATGACATTCGTCTTCATCATCATAAACATCTTCACAGCTTCTATTCTCGTCCTGAATCATTAACATCATTGCGGGAAGCAAGACCGTACAGCGCCGCAGGTGACGGCAAGCACCTTGCCTCAACTTCGGCAGCATGCTTGTCCTGGTCGGGATGGCACGCCAGCACGGCATGCACTTGTCAGGACACGGGGCACGACGGCCTCCGCATGAGTAGCCAATGCCCCTCCAACAGCTCGCACCGCTTCCTCCAGCAGACGCTTCATGGCCAAGAAAACGGAACCACCTTACAAGTGGCTCACTCTGGGCATGGCCTGGATGGCAGCTTCTCCGGTGTCCTGCAAGCAATATGTTGGGCGAACATCGGATGCTGATCAAAACCACCACTTAAGCTGCCTCGGCATGTTGTGCCAGCGCGGCACGCACTGCCTAACACCAGGGCAGCACGTTCGTTGGGAGACAGCACGACAAGGCGATCAAGCTCTGCGCCTCCTTCATGTCCTCCTCTGCCTTGTTGGCCTCGCAGATGCCGCCACGCCGCAAAAATCGTTTCCAACGGACTAACAGAAAAACCCTCTGATCCAACAGACCAAGCCTCTGCGTGTCTCACTAAAGCATCGCCCAGGATCCGAATGTCCTCCTGGTGTGTGTCAGCAGAGTTCACGCGTCGCGGACAGATTTCGGCGACATCTGATAGCGTGTTTCACGTGGCACGCGTGTCGAAAGCTTCGCGCCTGCCACCGTTGTCACTCTCTGAAAGTCTCCACCATGCACAGACCACGACGAATCGGTAGTGGAAGTGGCTCGCACCGAAGCGTGCCCACACGATGAAAACGTCCGTGCTACCAGCGCATACTTCGGGACCGAGGGTATTCTACTCGCAAGCCTCGA